TTGACCCCACTATTCCACTGCTGGGGATCTTCCCCAAAGAATTAAAAGAATCATACCACAGTGATATATGTGCACCCATGTTCATAGCAGCGCAGTTTGTAATAGCTAAAACTTATAAAGTTTATATCATAGATTAAGTCTAGATTATTAAGAGAACAGGAAAAGGGAATCATATTTAGTTCATTCAGAAACTTCATCCATAGCAACACTCAGAGGCAGCCTCAAGAGAAACCATGGGTTAATAAGAGTGATAATACTAAAAAAGAGAAGCTGTAGGAAAATTGGAAGTATATTTGTCTATAAATCACATGCTAAGCTTTTCAAAAAAATTCTCACAGCATTTCAAGGAATAACTGCTGCTGGAGTTTTCTACTCAACTCACAATGCAGTAGATGTAAATTTTTAAAAATTGGTTATAAATGCCAAGGATAGAATGACCACTGAGTATCTCAAACAAAAATAAACTTGCATTTATTGATGGCTTACAAAAGGAGAGCTGTGTTGTCCAGGTACAACCTCACTGAGCAAAACAAAGTGCTAATCTTACAGGTTTGAGGAGAAAGTTTGTTCTGAGTTGTAGACCAACACAGCAAAGCAAAAGTGTCGACCTCTTATTTGGATCTGTCCATTGCTGATTGGCTGAATTCCAAATACTAGCTTGTTATTGACTGGCTTTCAGAAGTGGGCTCACTGTAAGTACAATGTCATTGATCAACCTGACAGGTTTAAGCCAGTTTAGGTGGTTCTCTGTTACCATGACTACAGAACAATCTTTCTCTATGAGTGTGAGAAACATTTTAATTCTGTTATATTCTACTGCTATATTGAAAATATAATAAGTGAATATTATTTTTATTCACCAAAAGGATTAATCAAAGGTTTTCTTGTTTTATAATGTTTTCTGAATAGTAATTTAAAGGGCTAATTTAGTTGAATATATTTCCTAACTATAAGGAGGTAATTTTATGTTCTTATAGTCAAATAATTATTTAATCTTCAGACTAAATTTTGATAATCCTATATTGGATGAATGTTTTGTTTCTCAAAATGATATACTATATTTCTGACTGCTGTATGTTATTGTCTGAAAGTAAGTGGTGCAGAAGCAACCAGTTGACAAAGTGTTACATCTATTTGACTGGATTAGATAATTTGCGTCAATTACAGAATGACAGCACTAGAAAGAACACATAGATTTGGGCAAATGTTTCTCATATTGGCTGCATTTTGATTCTATCAAAGGAGCTTTTACAAAGGGGATCAAGAGCTGGGGGAGGGGGGAAAGAGGAGGGGAAAGGGATAAAAAGGAATTAGGATGTGTTATGTACCTGTACCAACCCCCATGAGGAATATAACCATGATTTCCTGCAAACTATGAGAACAAAAAGAAGCAGCCAATGAAAACCAGACTGGAAGGCATTCTGCTAACGAAAGTTTACTATTAGTTATTAAGCCTCAATTAATCGGATTAATTCTGGTTTCCAAAGCAGATTGTTTGGACCGTTGTTAAACCTATCAGGCTGATTTCATGATGAGTGAGCTGCTAACTCTCTTCTGAACAGTTTATCTTCCTTTTGGATTTTATCAGATATTTTTACATAATGCACGATTTATCAAAATGTTGTAAAATTTTTATAAAAAGAACGAGTGTTTATCTTTTTCATAGATTTAAATCTCTAGGGTAAGAGTGAATAGATATATCAGTAATCAACTCTGAGCCTAAAGCCGAGATAGTAATACAAACCTTTGAGATTTAGGCCACAGAACTCTGAAATATATTTAAGTCATGCATTATTAATATGGATTATAGAGTTTCTAAAAGCTTTAACTTCAATCCATGTATTTCAAAAATAAATAATTATTTTTATTCCAGTCATGGTGCCATTTTACAGTTAGTTAAGTGAAATAAACACATGTTTACCTTAAAGCAAGTGGAATGACAGCAAATCTGTAATTCATCTAAAATCATTTTAGTTTCCACACCCAAGGGTTTTCGACAGTAAGTGCACATATCTTTTTCAATGACAGACCTATAGAGACACAAGCAAATAGAATAAATTTTCCATCATGTAAAAAAATCTATTCTCTACGAAGTCATGTGGAAATAATATGTTAATTCTGATGGTACTTTAGTAAATTTCACTAAGATAAAGGAAAGTTCAGAGTTCACTTATTCTAGTCATAGAATCAATTATCTAGTTACCCCAAAATAATGTCAAAGATGAACATAATAGAAAGTGTCAGATTACTAATTCATCAACAACCAAAGAAGCACCTGGGCAGGACAAAAATGTTCATTTTCCTAGTTGAACTAGGTCTTAAGTACCCCCGAAACTCACATGAGGGTTTTTAACTATTAATTTACACATATCATTTTACAGAGCACAGGAGAAAATTATCCTGCTAATGAATGTAAATTTTTAATTCTCAAAATATTCAATACGTCAAAAATAGAAATCCATTCAAGAATGAGTTTGTAAGCTCACAAGTGATGGGTCTGTAGTACTCAGGACTCCAGGGTCTCAACACACTAAAACATCCCTCTTGGTATCATCATTAAGAGTCAGGATATGAACAGGGATATCTATCATGATGAAATTTACACTCTACAAGAAGATATAACCCTGCCACAAATTTGATGAAAGAAGAAAGTTTTCTTATTGGCATTGGAAAACTAATGTTCAAATATAACTGAATTATACATGTGACCAGCAGAGTTCAAAAAGCCTGAGATCCCAACAGAGCTTTAAAAAAGGATACTATTCCTTTTCTGTCTAAAAGAGCACCTGGTGGAGTTTACTGGTTTTGAAGCAGTAGCATGCAGGCCTGGAGTGTCCAGAGTAGGATACATAATGAGGCAGAGAAACAAAAATAGCCAGCGCTTGTATAGTATTTAATATATGCAGTGAATTTTCCCGTGCATGTAGAGAAACTCATTTATCCTTTGCAATATACCTGAAGAGTCAATGTTATTTTTGCATCATTTTACAGGAAAGGAAACTGGTGCACAGAAAGGTAAGCCATTTGTTGCTGTCACGCAGCCACTGAGTGGATGTGAATGGAGCCTGTGTGGGCCTCAGGTCCCTGGGCTGGAATAAATGAGCTAGTTATGCCCTGGAGCCCAGAAATAGAAGCAGAGAGGAGGAAAAATGGAAGGAAGATAAAGTGAGAGAGGAAAGAGATTAGAGTAGATAAACTTCACCTGGTTTTATTTTAGTAACTTCTTCCTAATCCTCATGTATACAAGTAAATATTTTTCTCTTTCATTCCATTCTATAACTACTTGCTTATACAGATATCTGGCAAATATTTCCCTGTGAATTATTCCTATATATATATATATACACATATACATACATACATACTACAAGTTCCCACGCAAGATTATAAGCACTTTAAGAATAGAAAATCGGTGCTATCATCTGTCTCACATGCACTTTTTCCTGATAAGCCTTTCCTGGTATCCCCTGGAGTGAGTTGCTCTCTAAACTATGTAGTCCACATAGCTAGGGGCTATGAGCTAGGGGCTGGGAATACCGAGCGGTGCCATGCCCTCTGGTGAGAAGCTCTTTCCACTGGGGAAGCCAATGTGCGATTCAGTGGTGATAGCATAACACAGGAAGAGTTAGGGAACTCTGGGAAGAGTTAGGAGAGCCCACTGAGATAGCAACCAAACCCAAGGGGTGTCAGGAAAGGCTTGTCAGAAGAAGTGCATATGTGGCTAAATCTTGCAGATGAAGGAACACTCGAGGTGGCTGGGTAAGGTGGGCGTGGGAGGCCGAGGGAGGAACTCCAAGCAGGATGAACAGGATGGACAAAATGAGGGCCTTCGCAGTGACTGAACATCGGTCTATGTTCAGCAGGAGCAGGTTCTGAGCCCTATAGATAATGTACGAAGGACTTTGCCCTCTATCTCATAAAGCGCCAAGCTACTTTTAATGGGATTGAAGTGCTTAAATGAGAACGATGGGCACACAGCCAATTTCACACATTAATCAACAGCATAAGTCTTATGGAAAATTGACTTCTGCACTGATGACTAAGAAAGATTTCGCAAATGGCCTTCTGAGCAGGAATGAAATTGACAATAATATAGGAGAATATTTTCTTTCCTTATGTTAACAATAAAAATATGAGCCCGGGGAAAGCTCTGATGTGGGCACTGGCTTTATTAAAATCAAAGGATTACTCAAAGATCTTTCCAAAGAATTATGAAAAGCTTAGCTCTGGTTCTTTTGTTGTTGTTGTTGTTACTTTATGTATATAGTTCTATCTGTATAGGTTACTTTCCTCCTCAGAAAGCTGTGACCTAAAAGTCAGGACCCTCAGCAGAGTTTTGGTAATGGAAGAAATTATACAAGTATCAGAAAGAGGCTATAATTTTTATTTTTAACTGACATTATAGAACGTTTTCTTTATCCATTCATCATCAGTGGATATCTAGATTGATTCCATATCTTGGCTATTATGAACAGTGCTAGCTACAATGAACATAAAGGAGTAAAGATCTCCTTGGCAAATGGACTTCCTTTCCTTTGGATATAAATTTAATAGTGGGATTCCTGTAGTATATGGTAGTTCTATTTTTAGCTTTAGAGGAACCTCTATGCTGTTTCCAATGATGGTTTTAATATTTTACATTCATCACCACCAGAGAAATGATATAATTTTGACATTTGATGCATTTATACTTCCCTTAGCAAATAGGACATGGGGTTGTGTTTTCAGAAAAAAAAAATTATAGAGTACCTGAAAGATGCCAAACACTGCATTAGAAGCTGAGGCTACATATAAAAAGTGAAATGTGTCTTTACTCTCAATGAGTCATCTTTGCAGGCCCTACTATGGAAAAGCACCATCAGTGAAATATCGGACATTTGCATAATAGCTTGTATCCAGCAGTGGGTTAAAATACTAAACATTTTCATTTATTCCACTAAAATTCTGCAGGCCACACTCTCCTGAGTGTTGTCCAGGAGCCCAGTGAGCATTAAAAACTGAGGAGGGCCACTAGCCCCAAATCCTGGAGCAGGGGCCAGTTCTCCAGCACCAATTCAATCCTCATCATAACCCCACTTCCAGGGACTGAACTGGGTCCAGAGTGGGTCACAGCAGCACATCTGTGGAAAACCACAAGTAGGAAGGCCTGAGGGCATTCTAATGAAGCAATGATGCTTAGATACCAATAATTTGATACCCTGGGGACTTCTGAGAATTGCCAACAACAGAGGGCTGGCCTGCATGGAAAAGACTTTTGAAATAATATGCATCAAAATCAAGGGCAGCAACAGCCAAGAAGAAAATCCCCTAATGGAGGGTTGCGCTCTGTTCTCTTCATGCACATATATGACAATTAGCATTAGGAGAGCCACTTCCAGAACAAAGGGTGAAAAATACACTCTATCTCTATCTCTATCTTTATCTCTATCTATCTGTATGCACACTTGGATATCTATACATACATATATATATATATGTGTGTATACATACTTTTCTGCTAGAAGACATAGACATACTCACCTATCTGAAGTTGAATAAACGGTTTGTATATACTTTCCAGAGCTATTCTCCTGATACCCATCCTTTGGTGTTTTACTAGAAACAAACACATATGGACATGTGAGAATCAGGCCGTCTTCTGTAATACTGATGTGCATACCATATACAGGTAAGGAAACACATTCACAGCCCCTCATGCAGCCTTCCTTTATTATTCCTTATAAGGTTGCAAGTCAATATGAGGTGCTGACACCTCTTACTTTTTAATCTGAAGAAGTACACCTCATGTTCATGTATCACCAAATTAATCAGAGAGTAGGTACAGGAGTACAGGAATAAGTGTGAGTAGATAAAGAGGTCATGGATTTTCATGAAATTTTTACTTGCTCATCACTCATTACTAAACTAAAGTAATATGGAGTCTAATATAGATAAAAGAAATATGCAAAGCCAAGCATAGCAAGTACATACACACATACCATTCCTGGGGAGAAATAGAGACTCTTGAACTTCTGGAGAAAGCTCTAGAAATTTTTATTTTTCACTTGAAAACATCCAAAAAATAGTAGTTTAGAATGAAGACAAAGAGGTATAATTTTTAAGTCCTCTCTTTTCCATTTTGTAGATGGTCCCAGTTTGTAAACATCACTTTTTCCCAGAGACAAATTAAATCTGTAATTCACTGACCAGGTGGCTCCTTATAATTACTTCCAAAGTATTTATGCTACCTGAGAATATATTAAGATTGGAAGAAATATGCTTCTACCATTCTGGACAGTGAGTGATAATTCTACAATCCTCACTTGGGATTTTTTAATGGGAAATCTATCTCTTCATTCAGATCACCCACAGGCAGATGCTGTCAGAACTGCAAGAAACGATGTGGAAAATATTAGTTCACAATGCCAAATAGAGTTTATATGTACTTATGTATGATGTAGATATCATTATTCCTATTCAATTGATGATGAATCTGAGACTTAGTAACTTTACCAAAGCTAACATGGTTGGTAAGTGATAAACAAGGGCTCAACCCTGAATCCAGTCCTGGGGATTTTATATTACACCACATGCTCTGTCAGGGTAGATTTTAGAGAAGTTAAAGGTGCTTAAGATACATCATATTAGATTAAGGTACAGAAGTAACTAATCCTTCCAGAATTTTTGGTCCTATAAACTACTGGCCTCATATGCAACATTGCATTTTATAGTGATGGTTCTCAAGCCTGAATATGGATCAGAACCATGATGAGTTTGTTAAAACACAGATTGCTTGACCCTCCCTGCAGAGCTTCTGATTCATCAGGTCTAGGTAGAGCCAACAAACTTTCATTTCTAACAGGCTCCCAGGTGATGCTGACTTTGCCGGGCCACACTTTGAGAATTATTGTTCTATATGTATATATGACACATATATACAGTTACAGTTGTATGTGCTGTAGTTTAAAAGTAAACTATGGTCAGCATGGTTAAACATTTCAACTATGTTTTAGTTTCTGCACTATTCATCTACTCCATAAACCAAAAAATCTAAAATGTAACATGCCTAATTCTAGAAAAAAAAACACCATTTCTGTTTAAAAAAATCAATATTGCACTTGTTTATATTAGTTCCCATGAGACATTTCTTTAGAAAGCAAAATGTACTAGTGTGATATCCCATAAGGGTAACACTGTAAGATGATGTAAATATTGAATAAAGACCTATGTTATTTTCATTCTATTTGCCAGTGTTTGGCATCTTGCCTTCACTGCAATACTATTTTGATACTGTTTATCTACTTACCAGTTTCTTTCAGGTTTAGTAAGTACTGGCTATTTTAAACTTTACCCTGAAATGTACCATCTTTTAAATTAATGGAAAGACAGAAGAAATCAGTCTTAAACATGCCGTAGACTAAATTAAGAGAAAAATTGATTTGGAAGTTGCATCTTAAGAGGTAAATTTTACATGGTTTTGAAGGAGTTTTTGGCATGTATTGAGTTTCCTGGGGCCCCTCAGAATCCCCTACACCCAAAAGAATCCCCTGGATACTCTAGTCTTTGAGATAGGCTCACACATGTCGGGTATGTCTGCATTTATGTGCCTTGCCATTATATTACTCCACAATTAGGCCAATTTCCTTGAAAACCAAATGGGTTCTGAATCCTTGACCCTGGTTGACATTTTCCTCAATACTCATTACTCCAACCACCAGATTTCATGGGACATCAAACTGGGTCAGAGTGCATCTACTTAAAGTTATTCCCTTATTTCAGACTGTAATAATCTCCAACAGTTAACACAACAGTAGATGAGCCTTTTCATTAAAGTGAACTCCAAATTAGTATAGAAATATTTGTACAACTTTATAAAGTTTATCATTACCATATAGTCATATATGTTTTGTGAGAAATTTCTAATGACAATCTCATTATGCATACCTGTATTATATTAAAATAGTCCATCCAATGACTATAATTATTTATCAACTACTTAATATTGGCAATATTATAAGTAATATATGCCTAGAGTTCAATATACTCTTAATTGGTTTTCTCTGTGAAAGAAATACACTCTAGAATGATGGCATCTCTTGTTAAACATAGATCATTTCAAACTTATAAAATGATACAAAATATTTGCAATACATTTCCAATACCTATTCTCCACAAATGTCCTTGTGTACACAACAATGTCCTTTGGTCTTGCATGCCTGCTTCCAGTACTGGAGCTGCAATACAAACCATTTTACTTTATGTTAAAAGTTTATTTATAGGGAAAATGAAACAGCAAGAACATTATCCAATTCAATGCAAAAAATAATACTTGTATGTTCTTTCTAAACTATAATTGTTGAAATATAAATGTCAAAGTGCCATTAACTTCTTGCAAAAATTCATTGCATCTCTCATTTTTTTTTAGCAGCCACTGTTTTGACAATATTTATCACAGTATTATTAGGAAAAATGGTCACTCAGAAAATCTGTTTAGAAAATGAAGATTATTTTGAACATCTTTGTCTGTTTTTCTGGTATTTTGATCATATTTCTAAGCCATAAACTTTCCCCATAAATTTCAAATTAAAAAGTGAGTGACATAACATCTGATTTAAGGAAATGTTTAGATCTAGATAGAGAATGTCAACACTAATGTCATAATCATGCTTAATGTAATTGTAGATTTTTAAAGAAAAAATGTATTTTTTATTTTCCTATCGAGATGTCTCCATAGTAACCAAGTTGCTAACTCAACACTTTGATGTAAAGCTGTTTACATATTACATATAAACTCAGGTGAAATTAGAAATTTCTGCATTTCAAAGAAAGGGCCAGCTAGGATGTGGAATTCAAAGAATGAATGAAAAAACAAAAAAAGTGGAGAATAGTCCTGTCATTTGTTTTATAATTGACTACAGTACCTGAGATTATGCCTGGCTTCATAAGAATAGGTAGAGACTCTCGTGGACTTGTTGTGTAGAGCACTGGTGAATCCATTGACTTGGCTGTCTAGCCTGAGAGAGAAAATGCACATATTTGCCACTTTAAATTAGGGCCACAGAGAAGATTTTTTTATCTTACTAAAATTCTAAGCTGGGCATAGTGGTGCACACTTGCAATCCCAGCACTCCAGGGACTGAAGCAGGAGGATCGCTGCAAATTCGAGACCAGCCTGGGCTACATAGTGAGATCAAAGCCAGCCTGAACTACATAGCAAGATCCTGTCTCAAAACAAAATTCTAATCAATTAACTGTTTTACGTACAGAGAAGCTCTTTATGTCTGCCCGATTTCCACATTACCCATAGAAATGATGAACTATTTGACTCTCTCTGAAGAAACTAGTGTCTCACCTGTACGAATAATCCACAGACCTGAGCCACATCATCTACCTCTAGGGTAAAATACCTTTGCAGCATGACAGAAACCATGGGAAATTGGTTCCTGTAACATTTTCACACCAGCAGCGCCATTCTAGAAAGCTTCCCATGTACAACACATCTGAGAATTTATCATTTTAATGAAAATGATCCAGGATTTGTTTTGAGATATTCCAGTTTCTATTTTGTTTTTAATGAAAGGTAATGCTTTGAAGATTGCCAGAGAATTCTGACCTAGATTTCTGCTACTCTAAGAATGTTACAGCATTTAACAGAGTACTGACACATTCATTTTTTCCTATGGAAAAGAAGAAATTCCTAATGCAAGAATAGTGAAACTTTTAGCTCCTTTTCCTCATCCATGTTAGTAAACTTTGACAGAGGAGAGACAAGAATACCTAGAGTAGAGTTTAGATTTCAATCAAGCCTTATCATTCTCAAACAGGCTGTTCGCTGCATTTCTGGACAGCTCTTAAAGAAGAGTAAAACATTTGTTCACATATTATCTCTGACACACAGAAAGATTATCTTCTGATATTAATGCAGATATTTCACAAACACAAGGTTGAATTCGAATGATTCTAGTGGAAAGGTAGAATTAATATTATAAAAAAGTTTTATAATTTGAACATTAGAATATGTCATTCTAGGAACAATAAACCTATTTGGAAATTGTTTTAAAATCCTATTCAAATCATATAATGTACAAATTAAAACCCAACCTTTGTAATATAGGTAGTGTTGAAGGACAAATGTCATTTCTGGGACTGATAAATTTTTGCATTGTCCTCAGCAATGTAAATTTTTTTTAAAAATTACCAGTTTGCAAAATCTGCAAGCAGAAGAGGGAAGTAATTTGCAAACAACACTGTTATGTATGGAAATATTTTCCCTAAAATTCATATTTTGAATCCCTAATCCTCAGTGTTAATGAATTATTTTCTCATTAATTCCTCTGATAGAACATCCTTTCATGAACAAGCCCAATCGAAATGATAGCACATCTCAAATCCCATTAAATAGAAAGTTTCTTAATTATGCTTAATAATTTACTCATATTTTTAACCTCAGTCACTTCCAAATAATAATGGAGTGAAGTTGGTTAATTGTAAGCCCAGTCCTGTTTCAAAATAGTGAATGTGTTTCCAGGACAAGTAGATCCTACTGAAAATTTATCCTCCCTCATTCCATCAGTCAGAGACTTTGCTGGAATCATGACAAAAGACAGAAGATGTTTTGGAGAAATACAGGAAAATAAAGAAATGGTAAGATTCAAGAGCCATTTGTAGATATTATGGGAAAAAAGTGAGCCAGCTCATTCTTAGCCTTTCCGTTCTCTGCAGAAAATATCAACAATCTCACACTTTACACACACACACACACACACACACCTTTTAACAGAAAAAGCAAAGGTACCACGTTAGGAAGGGTTTTTTTTCTAAAGAAATTCATTTTTTTTAGTTTCTTCCTATGTGAGGGGAAGATCGCAAAACACGGAAACATTAATCCCTTCCAATTTAAACAGTCTATAACAATAATGAAGAGTAGCTTCTATCCTAATCTTCCTTCTGATGGCACACAAGGTATAACAGTTTTAAAGTCACTGTACTCTGTGAAGTAAAGTATTTCAAAGTTAGGTCCTGTTTTGTGACAGTGAGGAATTTGTGCATTTTTAAAATCATGAAGTAACCAAGAAAGAGATTCCCAGGCTGCTTTCTGTGCCACTGAAACTCTACCAAGCAACAGTAGGTAAAAATAAATCTTCGCAACCCAAGTAAAGAGATTTGAGTGTCTCTGATGCCTTTTACACTAAGGAGTGGAAGAGCAGACTGAGTCAGAAATTCTAACAGTAGAATTTTGTTAGTTCTTCCATATCAGCTATTAAGCACCCAGTACCATAATTTTGTATTTTAAATACCATCATACCATTTAACTCCCTAGAAAATCTTCTAAGATTAAATAATTTATACAGGTGTATAAGGAACTCATAAGGCAGTAAATTATCATGAACCTTACCTTCCATTCTTATTTTCAGACACATGGGAATTTATTTCAGTTAAATTTTCTGGGTCCCAATCTCTAACAACAATAAATAATATTTGAACGAGATTGGTTAATTGTTAGCCCAGTACAACAGTATTCCCATAATTGTGGATGTGTTTTCACACAAGTAGATCCTACTGAAAATGTGTCCTCGTTCATTCTATCAAAGACTTTGTTGGGATCATGACAAGAAGGCAGAAGGTGATTTGGAGAATTAGAGGAAATTATATAATATACATATATATATGATTTAACTATAATATAACTTTAGGAAATAAATATTAGAATAAAAATTTAACAATCTTAGACACAGTCATTTGTGGTCTATAATGATATGGAAGAATCAAAGTTCAAAATGCATAATAAATGAGGTGATTGCATTCTTAAATCTTGAGCTGCAATAATATTTGACATCCTTCTCATGAAATAGAAGATCCTCTACTATGTTATTTATATATTTGGTATGACACTGTGCCAAACTCTTTTTGTCACAGTCCACTAGATTGACCCTCTAAAGAGAGCCCATCGCAACTTCTATTGAAGTCCCCTTAGATTCGCTGTCTGGAGCAAATTCCTTACTGCAGCCCCTATACTAATACCCCTTTCAGCAGGAAGTGCATAGGTTATCTTTGCCCCTTCTCCCATAAAGGCAGTTAGGGATACTTCCCCAGAAGGGGAAAATGTGAAAAATAGCTTATTTAGTCTTATGAAAAAATAGTTTATTTAGTTAGTCTTATAAATAAGACAGCTAGCTTGGGAAAGGACCTGAGATACAGTTGGTATCCAGCCATACTGATAAGAATTAAAGTAAGAACAGGCAGTGAAGTAGGATCTTGGACCAGGAACAAACTTCCTCTGGCCACAGGGAATGCAGCCCCCTCCCTCCTAAACTACTGAGTTTCCAGGAACTTAAAAGGAAAAATAACTAGTTTTACTCTAAAATCCCAGTTTCTTTTAAACCCCACCTGCTGAGTAACTGGGTTAGAGAGCTTGAGTTCCAATTGCAACTCATTTTAAATACACACGGCCACTCATGATAGGTGACCACTAAGCGGTTGAGCACTTCCTGTTCTCCACTTAGCCATCAAAAGTTCTAGACCATCATACCACAGTGATATATGCACACCCGTATTTATATCAGCACAATTTGTAATAGCTAAATCTTGGAAACAGCCCAGATGCCCAACTGATGAATGGATAAAGATATGATTTTTTATACAACGAAGTACTACTCAGCCATAAAGATGGATAAACTTGAGACATTTATAGATAAATTGATGGACCTGAAGACAGTGAATAAATCAGACACACATGTGTAAATATCACATTGTTTCTTTAGTGTGAGAAAGTGAAAATGTAAATAGAGACCAAAATATATAATAGACATTGTGAAATAGGAAGAAAATTTTCCAATGGGAAGGGGCACTAGGGATGGGGGAGGGGGAAAGGAAGGAGGGGAAAAATAAGATGGGAAAAGAAAGATAAAATGGAAACAAAGCTTTTGTAAATAAGGAGGGGAAGAGAGGTTGAAGGGAGGGAAGAGGAATGGGGAAAAATAAGAATCAAGATACATCATATACAAGTACAAATTCCATATGATGAAAGTGATCATTATGTATTTCTAAATTGTACCAATAAACTTAATTAATAAAAAAGAAAGAAAAACAAGTTCTGGACTGAGAAGCCATGTGGAAATTCTACTCTTCAGATTCCTCTCCTGGAGAAACCAGGAGCCTTTTTTCCCTTCTAATTATTTTCAGTAAAAACTCTCCTATGTTAAAGAAAAACACACATTGAAAATTCTTGTTTTTGTTTTTGTTGTTGTTTTCATGAGTTTGAAAAAGCATCTATCACAATTCCCATTGTTTAGGGCTCAAATGTAATGGGGCTCATCTTTTCCTTACTTCCTTTGGCAAATTTGTAAATGAGGTTACTAATGTCCAATCCCAAAGTTTTGGTGAAAACAATGAAACTCATGACAATAAATACAGCTGTGGGTGAAGTGAATAAGAGTAAGTAAATAATAGTTAACAGAAGTGAAATGATGCAGCAGTGGGCACTACGGATTCCTCGGCTTTGAGGGATGACTTTCATTTTTATTTCTGCCCCAATGATATTTATATCATTGGAATTAATTCCAGTTCTTTAAAGTATCTCCACTCATGTTCCTGAATATTGTGCTTAAGTAAGGTTATTATACACAGAATCAGTGTGTGGATTCCCATTCACAGAATTGATATTGATAAGGATGCAAAATACTACAAAATAGTCTCATTTTATGTGCAATGAGATTTAATACTTTTTACATAGCAGCATCCAAGCTATCGATAGTTGATGAAATATGAAAATTAGGCAGCATCTCAGAGCTACACTTAAGCTTTACATTAAAATACAAATTTCAGGGTTGGGGATTTAGCTCAGTGGTTCCACCACCTGCCTCAAAAGCACAAGGTCCTGAGTACGATCCCTGGTACCAAAAATAAAATAAAACAAAACAAATTCATGCTTTTGAATATGAGAAATCAGGGTAAGTTACTTTTTAATATGAGTTACGGTAGAAATATGCTAATTGATGTATACAAAAATATGATA